CTCGTTACGAATCGGACGCAGGTTTGTGCTGACAGTTTATCAGAGAAGCTGTCCACATGACAAGGTCCTGCTTACTCATCAGGACACTGCAGACTAGAAGGGACACTGCTCCACACCCACACAAGTGGCTAGAGGGTTTCAGCCTCTTCCTGTTCTTCTACCTCCCCCTCCTTCTCCTCTGAATGGAGCAGCCCAAAGCCCTGAGCAGGGCAGGGCAGGGCAGGGCAGGGCAGGTCAGGTCGGTGTTTCATGGGGGATGGTGCTGGGGACTGCGCTGGCCCAAGCGGGGGTCAGAGTCCACTGGGAAGAAATGACCAAAAAGGTCAGTGAATGAAGGACGGGTACCTGGTCTCACATGCCAGAGAGGCAGGCCAGTATGAAGAGGGAGCAACTGGAATAAACTCTGTGGTTTGAGACTGGGGAAGGCTCCTGTCTCAGAATAGATATAGAACTATAGAGGTAGTGTGTGTGCGTGCGTGTGCACATGTGTGTCCATGTGCATTCATGTGTGCATGCAGGTGTGTGATCATGTCTGTCACGTGTGCGCATATACACACATCATTGGCTCTGTCCCAGAGCAATCAGCGGCACCTTCACCTGGATCTTATTTTTTTTATCCTCACCTGAGAACATTTTTGCATTTATCTTGAGATAGAGCAGGAGAGAGAGAGGTAGGGAAAGAGAGAGAAACATCGATGTGAGAGAGACACATCGAGTGGCTGCCACCCGCACGGCCCAACCGGGGCCGGGGACAAACTGCAACCGAGGTACGTGCCCTTAGCGGGAACCGAACCTGGGTCTGTCCGGTCCGCAGGTCGACGCTCTAACCACTGAGCACCCAGCCAGGGCTTCACCTGAATCTTTTATTTATTTATTTATTTTTTATTGATTAATTTTTGTTACAGATGATTCTCCTTTTTTCCCCCACTGATTCCCCCCTCCCCCTCCCCTCCCTGCCCCTTCCCCAGATTGTTGTCCATGTCCACTGTTCACGCATACATGTGTATAAGTTCTGTGGTTCATCCCTCCCCCACCTCCCCACTCCTTAGGGGATTGTCAGTCTGTACCCCGCTTCCTCGTCTCTGGGACTACCCCATTCCTCAATCTGTTATGTTCATTATATTCCACAAATAAGTGAGATCATATGAAATTTGTCTTTCTCTGTTTGGACTGTTTCACTTAGGATGATACTTTCCAGGTCCCTCCATGTCGTCTCAAAGGATAAGAGATCTTTCTTTCTTACCGCTGCGTAGTACTCCATTGTGTATATGTACCACAGCTTTTTGATCCATTCGTCTACTGATGGGCACTTGGGCTGTTTCCAGATCTTAGCGATTGTAAATAGTGCTGCTACAAAGATGGGGTACATCACCTGAATCTTTGATCTGAGTACCAGGTGCCCCTGAGAGGAGCTTGGCCGCCTGGAGAAGTGCCTGGAGCTGGAAGGCAGAGGGGCCGGGATAACCTTCTGCTTAGGACATACTCAAGGATGGAGACCTCCACAGAAAGACCTAAACAGTAATGTGCCCGGCAGCTTTATTTAAAACAGCCCCAATGGGGAACAAGCAGAACCCACCAACAGATGAATGGAGAACCCGCTGTGGTACGTTCCTGCAACGGGACACCGCCTGGCAATAAAAAGACACAAGTACAGGAGGTGACAAAACAGTCCACTTGTGTCACCAGTGCATGAAACCAGCCCGCTGGAGGCTGTGGCTGACCTGAGCCGCCTTGGGAATGAGTGGCGGCTGCAGGACGGAAAGCACCACACGGGGCTCTGGCTGACAAGGTCATCACCACAGGGGAGCGGGTGCCAGACCCACACTGCGGCACAGCACGCTGGAAGCCAGCACGAAGTGAACAGATGGGGGTGGGGCTGGGTCCTCCCGTGGGCTGGGAGGTTGCAGACAAGCATGGGAGGGGGCGAGAGTGGGCGCTGTGGTGATGGATTAGAACTGGAGACACAGGTTTGAAGTCTTGTTTAGCTTGAATTGATACAGATGGATACATATGAAGGTATTTACACAGACGTGTCTATACACCAGCTGGTGCACACGCATTTCCTCCTTCTCTCAGCTGAGGGCCTGGAGGCAAGGACACCCCGAGAGCAACCAGCACACAGTGCCCAGACTGGGGTCACTAACAGCATCTCCAAAAAAAAGGAACCGGGGTCCTTGGCGAAGTGGCCGATTCCTGGACGGAGGCAGGAATGTTCGAGAAGAGCCCGGAGTCTGAGAAACCATCACAGCGCAGAGGGACCTGACGAGATGAGACGGTTAGATGTCCTGTGGGGCCTGGATGGGATCCTGGGACAGAAAAAGGACATTGGGGGCAAAGTAAGACATCCGAATAAACCAGGGACTTCAATTAATACAATGTACCATATCGGGTCATTAATGATAACAAAGAAATCATACTATTAAAAGATGTTAATAATAGAGGAAATTGGATACAGCGTATACATCTAAACCGTTTTAAAATTTAAAAGTATATTTAACAAAAGAAATACAGAAACACATAGATATTACAGCCCTACTGAGCTCGGTGGAGACAGCGCAGGCCCCATGACTGGAGTCTGGGTGCCACCCGCCCCTCAATGTTCCTGTCCCCTCCCCCACCCCAGGGTGCCATGGTCTCCACCACACTCCGGACAGGCTCAGCCCCAGCTGCCCAGCCCTGGGCGCCCTTCCATCAGAACCTGAGGACTGAGCTGCTCAGGGGGCCTGGAGGGGCCAGGGCTTGCTGGCTCCCTAGCTCCCAATCACAGAGGGAGGGGCCCTCTGGGCCAGTGGTCTCCTCTTAGATAGGGGGGAACTGAGACTCAGGGAGGGGTTTGCCTGAGGAGGCTTCTCAGGGTACAGACGTGTCTCCTTCCCGCCTGCTCCACATTTGCCCCGAGGGTGAATAGGGTGACAATGGCACCGCCCTTCCAGGCCCCTGGACGCCTGATGTTGCCCAGTTTGGGGGGTGGGGGTGGATCTGCAGGAACACAGGTCCTCTGCCTCCTGGACCACCCAGTGCCAACCCCAGGTCCCCACAGGAAGGGAGTTCAGGGCCCTCACCTGTCCCGCCTCAATTAGCCTCCAGCCTGGGACCCCTCCCCCTCCCTGCAGCCATCGCTCATGCTCACGCCTGGGAGGCAGAGGGATGGCCCTTCCTAGGTAGCGCTCCCCACCCCCTCCTGGGGTTAGGAGCTCCTGGCGAAAGGCTTTTGCAGACGTGACTAAGCCGATGGCCTTGAGACAGGAGATTTTCCAAGGTCATCAAATGGACCCAGTGTCCTCACAAGTCCTTCAAGTCACCGAATAATCCCAGCTGTGGTCAGGGGAATGTGAGGATGGGAGCGAGTTTGGAGAGATGCTCACGGCTGCCATTGAAGACGAGGACAGGCCAGGAGCTGAGGAACTTGAGGGCCCTGGAAGCTGGGAAAGGCCTGAAACCAGTTCTCCCCTGTGTCCGGAAGGAACGCAGCCCTGGCCACAGCTGGGTTAGCCGGGGGGACCATGTCCTGCCCCTGACCTGAGAACCGTGAGGAAATTAATGTGTCATTAGACCACCGAGTTGGCGGTAATTTAAAACCCAGATGATTTCCCTGGGAAAATTATCAGACATTTAAAGAAGAAATAATACAAATTCTACATCATCGATTCCAGAAAATAGGAGAGGGAATACTTCCCATTAGGTCAAGGTTACCCTGACACCAAAATGAGTCAAAGACGTTACATAGACAGGAAACTGCAGACCAATATCGCTCATCAGCCCACACACAAGCATCCGTAACAAGATCTTAGCAAATTGAATCCGGAGATATACCCGAGATCTACATAATACGTCGTGACCAAGAGACGTTTGAATAAGAAAACCAAAGACATAAGAAAACTACAGAACAGTGTCCCTCCTATAAAGAGACACCCAAATCCTCAATCCTATTTTAGAAAATCAAATTTCTCAAAATGTGGAAAGGAAGACACATTATGACCAAGTATAACTCCCTCCAGAAGTGAAAAATTGCTTGAACATATGCAAATCAATTCACGTAATTCATCATATTCACAAACTAGAAAAGCACGGCTATTGTCCTGTGCTTAGAGGCAGAGAAAGAATTTTTAAAAATCCAACACCCACTTCAATTCAACAGAAATTCTCAGCAAATGAATCAAGCTATAAGGAGAAATGGAGATTGATGGGTGGGAAGAGGGCACCCGGGGGTCGAACTCCACGAAGCCCACTGCTCTGAGAAAGATGACGAGGGACTTCAGTGAGGAAGGCTGTTCTTTCCACACATTATGCTGAAGCTCTAGAGACTCCTAAGGACAATCAGAGCCTGGCCCGCCCTCACATCATGTACAAGACCTGGGCTGGCGCAGAGGGTAGATGGCCGGAAAGAACATCACTCACACCCGAGGACACACTGCAAATCAATACCTTTCCTTGGCCCCATCAGAGAACTGAGGTCACAGGGCAAAGAGCTGACCCCAGAATTGGAGAGGGACAGCACCTGGTCACCGGGGGCAGTGGATGCAGGAGCCAGCAAGGACAGGCGAGTCCCAGAGCCAGGCTGAGGCTCCCCTAGGCCACAGGAGGGGCCACCTGGGTGGCAGCGGGTGATGCAAGAGGTCCAGGATGCTGTGACGGGAGGTGGGCTGGAGGCTCCCGTGACCAGCAAGCCCAGGGGAGAGTGAGGAGCTGGGGTGGATGAACAGGCAGAGGCAGTGGTCAGCCCTGGCTGTGCAGGTCGAGGGCCAAAGGGTAGTGGGGCCTGGTTGGGGGAGTGTCCGGGGGAACTGGCACTGACTGCTTGTTATCTCTGTCACTTCCAGCTGCTTGTCCCTCTGCTGATGGCACTCAGATCCCAAGATAACAAGGTACCATTGTGATCATCAGAACTGCTAAGATAACACCCCAAGGAATTCTGGGCGGGGGAAGCAGGGCCTTGGGTCAGAATCATCCACTTCCTCCACTCAGGATTGGAGGCTTGAGCACCCCTCCTCGACCCCCTCCTGGTCTGGAGGCATAAATGGGGAGGAGAGAGTGGGCGGAGGCAGCAGGAGGACCGGCCAAGGTAAGCACCCCCAGCACACCCCAACATCGGGGCGCTAGTGCCCTGAGTAGCTGAGCCTCAGATCTGAGCACCAAGGCCTCAGACTCCAGGCCTGAACTGAACCCTGCTCTCGGGGGTCCTCGACTCCACCTGCACCCCACACCCTGCGGACGCCGCCTGGCTGGGCCGGCCACCAGCTGGGCCCTGAGGCCTGTCCTCGCTCCTTCCAGATGCAGAGTCTGCTGCTGCTACCACTGCCCCTCCTGCTGAGCCTGGTCCACGCGACCCCCGGTGAGTCCCGACCTCGGCCTGCCCTGGCCCTGGCCCTCACCCCACAGCCCCAGGCCACGATGGGTGGCTGGGTGTGTTCACAGAAGCCCAGGTGTGTGTGGGCACAGGGGCCGGGCTGTGGCCTGTCCTGAGTGTACGTCCTGCCCCAGTCCCGAGCCAGGCCCTGGAGAGAGCGGGCATCGTGGGGGGACAGGAGGCCCCTGGGAGCAAGTGGCCCTGGCAGGTGAGCCTGAGACTCAAACTCCAGTACTGGATGCACTTCTGCGGGGGCTCCCTCATCCACCCCCAGTGGGTGCTGACCGCCGCGCACTGCATGGGACCGTGAGTGTCCGTGGGGCCTGATGGTGGGGGTCGGCTGGGGCTCCTCCACCCTCCCTCCGGGGGTCCAGGAGGCTGCTCAGCCCCCTGAGAAGGGGCCTCCTCTCTCCAGGGAAAAAACAGATCCCGCAGACGTGAGGGTGCAGCTGCGGGAACAGCACCTCTATTACCGGGACAAGCTGCTGCCAGTCAGCCGGGTCATTGTGCACCCCAAGTTCTATGGCGTCCAGGAGGGGTTCGACATTGCCCTGCTGGAGCTCCAGGACCCCGTGAACATCTCCTGCGAAGTCCAGCTGGTCACTCTGCCCCCTGCCTCGGAGACCTTCCCCCCGGGAACCTCGTGCTGGGTGACAGGCTGGGGTGATGTGGACAATGGAAGTGAGTGTCAGGGACAGTTGGAGGGCTTGGGGGGGCACGTCACACCCATGACCCAGCTCTGGGGTTCCCTTTCGGGGATGGGATCCCGATGAGCCAGCTCAGCTCAGGGGGTGAGGGTTTGGAGAGTCTGGGAGGGAGAGGAGAGAGGCAGGATGTACTGACAGCAGGGGCTCATTGCATGAAGGACAGCGTCCCAGCTCGTGTTTCCAGGATATGGATAATGATCAGAGATCACACACATTAGGGGCCTCCCTAGTAAGGCAAAGAGAATGCCCACTCCTGGCACTGGTCTGCATTTCCTGCCCGTGCCCAGGACAAGGAGCCAGGAGGCAGGACTCGGGGTCCTCCCAGGGGTGTGGGTGCAGCTGGATGCAGCTTGCTCTGTCCCCTCCAGCACAATCATCTTGTCCCCTTTCTCCACGCTTCGGAGCAGAGCCTTGGGGCACAGCATGAGCAGGTGCCTTGTGTCATGTCCGCTGGGCCACCAAAGGGAACCTGTGTAATCACCCAAGCACCAGGGGAGACAACATCCCCCCCCCCCGGGGCACAGAGGGGAAGTTGAGTCTGGGGTGAGGGCTGGCCCGGAGGCAGAGCCGCCACCCTTTCTCTCCCCAAACGGGGCTTAAATGAGGCCAAGGCTGCAGGTGCCTCGGAGAGAGGGGTGGGGTCTCAGTCCCTCCCTGCTGTCCCCACCGCGCACAGCCCATCGCATGCAGGGTGAGCTGCGTGTCCAGCCCGGCCTGCTGCTTCTTCTTCCCCTCCCCCAGCGCCTCTCCCACCGCCATACCCCCTGAAGGAGGTGGAGGTCCCCATAGTGGAAAACAGCGTTTGTGACGCGGAATACCACACTGGCGTGACCACGGGGGACAGCATCCGGATTGTCCAGGACACCGTGATGTGTGCCGGGAATGAGGACAGTGACGCTTGCCAGGTGGGCTCCTGACCTCCCCACGTCCCCACCACCTCAGCCTCTCCAGCCACTGCTGACCCTTCTCCTCCCCAGGGCGACTCAGGAGGGCCCTTGGTCTGCAAGGTCAACGGCACCTGGCTGCAGGCGGGCGTGGTCAGCTGGGGCGATGGCTGTGCCCAGCCCAACAGGCCTGGCATCTATACCCGTGTCACCAGCTACCTGGACTGGATCCACCGGTACGTCCCCCAGGAGCCCTGAGCCCGGCCCAGGGGCTGCCACCTGGGGCTGTGGAGAATCCAGCACCTCTGTCCCCAGATCACTGCTTCCTGCCCAGCTGTTGACCTTCTCCCTGTTCCCTGTTCCTGCCCTGAGCTCCCCCACCCACCTGTCCTCAGCCCAGAGAGAAGGTGCGTGGTGAGCACGGATCCCCATTAAAGTGTGTGCAGAGCACGCATGGTTGTGGCCCTGTTTCTAGTTGTGGCATCACCAAGGGGGAGGGTATGACTCCAGGGCAGCTGCACAGCCCTCGTCTGTCACTGTGGGGTCCCCATGGCCCTGAGCACTGTCACTGCTGTGGGGACAGCCCCTCCCCAGCCCCTGGGGCCCAGGGCTTGTGTCTCTATGTTGAGCAGCCACATGTATTCGGGGCACAGAAAGCAACACAGAACATTGAAGAGATGGTCGTAGGGGCACCCAGGTACCCAGGAACCCAGCATGGGATCATGGTACATAGCCTGGGCCCCACACCCCGTGTCCCTGCACCTGCGCAGTGCCCTCCCCCCTCCCTCCAGGGCAGAGTCCCCAGCTCTCGGGCCACGCCGTGCACATCCACGTGGAAGTCGTGCGTCTGCCTCGTGTTCACATTGGTGAGACTGACCGTCTGTCACCCTGAGCCTCATTTCAGCGAGCACTGCATTGTGACCTTCCCGTGGCTGCGTGGAGGGGACACTGACTCTCACCGCCCATCCGCTCCCAAGCAGAGCTTGGGCTGCAGGCTGCTCCCGGGGACATAGGGTGTCCCCAGTCAGGGTCTTAGATCAGGAGGTGGGCTGTTCCTGTGCGCACACCCCAGTTTCGGCGGCGTGCCAGCGAGGGGCTGAGGCCTGGGTCCCCCACCGTCCTCCTGGAAGCCAGATGCGGTTCACACCCCACCCCCGACCATGGGGGCCATGCCTGTCACCCCTCCAATCTGCCATTCTGGTAGGTGGGGGTGGCATCTTCTTAAGCTTCTAATGGGCATTTCCATGGTTTTGATGTGGGGAGCCCCTCTCACAACAAAGCCCACCCCCTTGGCAGGAGAGGGGACAGCTGTGCACCCGCAGTATTCAGACAGTGCCCCTGGCCCATGTCCAGCGCCTCCACCCTCTTGGATGCTGGGTCACTGGGCGTTTCCCTGTCACTGCTCCTGTCAATGAGCCCGTTGGTGTCCGCACTCGGCTGCTGTGCACTGCAGGTTGCCGGGCACAGGTGTCCACGAGCCGCAGCTCCACCCCCCATGGTGCACACTTGCAGAGCCGATGGCAGGGCCTCTGCCCCTCTCCCTGCACCCTCCCTGCTGCGGGGACCGCCTGGGAGATGCTAGCCCTCCTCATCTCCTCCCACTGTGATCACTGTGTTGCAGCCAGAATACCTGTCCCTTAGAGTGTGAAGGACACCGATGGACTGGAAGGCCCCTCCTCCCTCGTCAGTCCTGTCCCCCGCCCCGGGGTTGCCCTGGGGTCGCGGGGTGACCTCCTTGGACAGCTCAGCGTGTACAAGCACATGGACACGCCTCTATGTGCAGGCTGTGCTGGGGACACTGAGGGACAAGGGGCACGGGCTCCTGCAGGGGTGTGGAAGGGCAGAAAGACAGAAGGGCAGGGCCTGGGGCTGAGACCCCAGACTGGCAGCAGGGAGGAGGCCGGTGCCCCAGCTTCCCCTTCTCTGGCCCTGGGATCTCCAGGAGCTCAGGCAGCGGCAGTGACAGATAACAGTGAGTGTTGTCTCATCAGGGGCAAGCGGGCCTTCCGCTGGGCCAGTGGGGCTGAGAGGGGCAGCGCCCTCCCTGTGCCCGCAGGGCTCCTCCCGAGGGGTCCCCATGCAGCCCCCCTGGCCGCGTTCCCTGGGCTGCTGGAGACCTGGGCCCCTGGGTCAGGAGGAGGAGGCACCCTGGGGTAGGACACCCCTCCCTGTGCTCAATAACTGTGACCGGACAGAAGTGAATCTATCTAGTCACAGTTATTGAGGGGCCCACAGTCATCGAGGGGACCACAGGTGGTGTTGGGAGTTTTTACTCAGGAGCATGTCTGAAACCCTGGTGCTGTCGAGGATCCTGTAGTAAACCAAGTTTTGGGGTGACGGTGGGTTGAGGGTGTCCCGATGCTGGAGGTAAATTGTGCTTAAACAGCTGAATACTCTGAACCCCCTCTTGTGGGAACTGGGGAAGGCCCTAAGGGTCCAGGAAGCAAAGGCCTTGGGTCCCTCCGGACACATCCCCACCCCACACTGGCGACCTCAGGCTTCCTGGGGGCTGGCCTGGGTCCCACCCCCTCCCTGATCTGGGCAGAGGGGCGATTCCCCTTCCCCGGGGGACTCCGAGGCGTGGTCGTCCCAGGTCAGCGCAGGCCCCACACACAGACGAGGCGCCTCTGTCATCCTCGTTCATCCTGGACGCGTGGACACGCACTTCTGAGCTGAGGCTCCGCGCTGGGTGCTGCTGGAAGGGGGCTGTTCCGAAGGGCCGCCCTTATCTGGGCAGCTGGTGCTGTGCCCGTCTGACCTTTGGTGGAGACCACAGGACCTGGGGATGGGGATGGGGACAAGGACACTGGGGAGGGTGGGTTGAGGAGACTTGTCACAGGGCCTGACCTGGCTCAGTTTGGGCCTTGAGCTGGGACCCTACTGAGGAACCTCCAAGACCAGGCTCCCAGAGGACAGAGGAGAGGAGCCAATGTGCCCACAGGAACCAGAAAGAACTTCCAGGAGGGGGCAGCACTGAGCACCACCTTTGCCCAGGTGAGGAGAAAAGGCTCAAGTTTGCACCTAGGATGTTTGGGGTTGGGACTGGTCATGCTGTGGTCTGACTGTGAGCCCCTGAGACAGCCACTGGCTGCCTGGACTGTGAGTCCACAGGGCAAATGGAGGTGATAAGCCCTCGCTTTGTGGTGTGCACCAGGAACGGGTGCCTTCCTGGCCCTCAGCTCCTCACCCTCCCTCACTCCTGGGTCTGCCCTGCCCCCTCCCCAGTGGGGTGCGGGGCGCGATTGATTGCAAAGGGATGGTGGAATGTTGTATAATTTGACTATGGTGGTGGTTACATGACTATACATTTGTCCAACTCAAACTATGGCCTTAAAACTGGTGAAATTTAATTATGTATATATGTAAGATATACCACAATAAAGCTAAATTTTAAAAAATATTTTTTTATTGATTTTTTTAGAGAGAGAGGAAGGGAGAGAGAGATAGAAATATCAATGTGAGAGAGAAACATTGATCGGCCGCCTCCTGCATGCCCCCCACTGGGGATCGAGCCCGCAACCTGGGCATGTGCCCTGACCAGGAATCAAACCGGAACCTCTCAGTCCATGGGACGATGCTCAATCCACTGAGCCATACCAGCTGGACAAAAGCTATTTTTAAAGAAATTTAAATTATAGCAGTCTTCTTTGTTTTTTGAAATCCTCACCCGCGGATATGCTTATTGATGAGAGAGAGAGAATGTTGATTGGTTGCCTTCTGTACATGCCCAATCAGGAATCCAGTCGAACCCACAACCTTTCTGGATACAGAATGATGCTCCAACCAACTGAGCCACACCAGCCAGGGCTGGAAGTCTTTTCTTAAAGATATTTGTCTTGAAACATCTGAGCACCAACCCATTTTCTCCCAGGAAAACAAAATAGTAATTTCCTGTGGCTGAGCTTTGAAGCACACAGAGCAGCTGATGAGTGTTAACGAAGCCTGTGGTTGTTATGTCCATCTGTGTGCTCCCAAGCCAGCCAGCAGGTCTCCCTGAACCTCACAGCAGACTGCATCTTAAAGGGGTTGCTCCTTGGGAGTGCCTGCATACATAGGGTCTGGAGCAGTGCGAGACCCGCAGACTGGTGGTTGTCCCTTCCTCCTTCCTAATTTCTGGACTTTTACTCCTGGGATGGCCCTCTGAAACCTTGGCTCCACCCGGGAAAAATCCTCCAGGGCACCTAAGCCACCCCACTGCTCCCTCGGGCTTGCTCCTGGGCTCTCCCAGCCCACCTCCACCAGCCCTTCTCATCTCCCCTTCCTTCCAACCCTTGCCCAGCTCATAACAGCAATTTGCTCCCAAGGAAGGTGTAGCTGAGGCCCCAGGAGACACCTCATGTGCCTCAAACCTCCATTTGGTGCTTACACCTGCACCCCAATCAGAGGTGACATAAGTGGCAACAGCAGCAGTGTCTCGGTCAATGGGGAGCCTGGTTCCAGGGCTAGACCCTGCCACTGGCTGGGTAAGGAGATTCCAGGTCCCAGAGTGTGCTGGGCCTGAGGCAAACCTGGACAAAGAGGAATGCTGGGCTGGCTTTGCCCTTGTTCTAAGGTGTCAGCGAGATAACCAGAGATGCACAGCCGATTGTAAAGGAGCACTTTATTACACCGGCGGGCTGAAGGGTGGCTCTCCCCAAATCGACAGCCCCAAGCCTTCTTTGTTGCCCACTTATATAGACACAAACTGCAAAGGAAAAACTACATTCTTGGTGCCACTTTTGGCACCGTTAAGGGGGGAACTGATAATAGGGGGGTCGGTGAGAGCAGGTGTTAGAGGTTAGGGTAACCATTAATCTTTTTCTCATGGTTCCTCTGAGTTTCCCAAGGCCGTCATTAACCCCTTATCTTTATAGTTTTCTTTGGGTTTCTCAAGGCCCTTATGTTTATAAGAAAGAAACTGCCAGTGTGTGTACGTGCAGTAACTGAGGGTCAGAATGGAGTTATTGCACCCTCTCCCCTGTGGTTGGGACAGCAGTGACATGGGAAATCAAGTGTCCTGGCCAGTCAGTGTGGGCAAGGTGCACGTGTGTGCGTGTGTAAGCTCCTCTCTCTCCCTCACGCCGGTTCCCCTCCCCACCTCGATGAATTGCAGGACTTTGAGTTGACACTGAGGATCCAGAGAGGAGGAATTGGGGGTTCAGGTTAGATACCCCAGGAGCTGAGTTAGAGAATCTAGCTGACCATTGTGTTAGATTAGACAAGGGTTTAAGTGTGGATAGTTCTTACTAAATGCCATTCTTGCTAAATGTTAAAATGTAATACAGTATTTTGCAGACGTGGCTATAAACAGGATGAGCTTGACAGGAATCCAACTGGATAAGTGTAGCCAAATGCAAAGAAGAAATCAAAGTGTAATTAACCCAAGAGTGTATGTAAGCCATGGCCAAGCCTCCCCTTCAGGGAGACAGAACTTGTGATTGTGACTACCCAGTCTCCCTCCC